AAAACAATAGATCTTGAGGTAAGAACTGCAGGACGTTTACAACATTTCCAAAAAGCCTGGCTTTCGATCACAAAAGACAAGTTTGTCTTGGATTGCATCAAGGGTTATAGAATTTCCTTTTTTAAAAAGATTGATCAAATGAGGATTTTCCAAGTTAATAAATTTTCATTAGAAGATTATAACAATTTGGATACAGAAATTGAAAAATTGGAACGTTGTGGAGCTATCCAACGTTGTGTTGCAGTCCAGGGTCAATTTGTTTCACCCTTTATCTTGATTCCAAAACCTAACGATTCTAAACGTTTCATTCTCAACTTGAAAGTTTTAAATAAATCAATTAAAACTCCACATTTCAAACTGGAGGATTTGCGAACAGCTGTAAAATTCATTTCCAAAGAGGTTTTTATGTGCACTTTGGATCTCAAGGATGCATATTTTGTCGTCAATACTCATGAAGATAGCAGAAAATTCTTAAGATTCACTTTTCGTGACAATCTTTATAAATTCACTTGTCTGCCTTTTGGATTGACCTCGAGTCCTTTTGTTTTTACTAAAATAATGAAAGCTGTAGTCAGTTTCTTGAGAAACCAAGGATTATTATCTACCATTTATCTGGACGACATTTTGTGCATAGGTAAAACCTATGAAGATTGTAAAATCAATGTTCAGAAGACAAAAGACTTATTGAAGTCTCTGAGCTTTTTAATCAATGAAGAAAAAAGCAGATCAGAACCAAGTAAACAATGGAAATTCCTAGGAATGTTAATCAACTCAGATAAGATGACAATTGAATTACCTCTCTCCAAGAAACTACAATTGATAAAATCGATCGAAGCTTGTCTATCTAAAAACTCTTTTAAAATTAGAGATATCGCAAGTCTCATTGGATCTTTAATTGCAGCCTGCCCGGCAGTTCCATATGGCATTCTGTATACAAAGATTTTGGAGAGAGGAAAATTTTTAGCCTTACTTATAAACGATCAGGACTTCGAACAAAGTATGAGTTTGTCGAGAGTGGCTCGTGAAGATCTTTTTTGGTGGAGAAATAAAATCCCCTCTGCCTTTTTCAAAATTAGAAATTTGAGATACAAGAAAGAAATTTTCTCGGATGCCTCTCTAACTGGCTGGGGTGCTAGTTGTGAGGGAACGCAAATTACATATTAATTATTTAGAATTAATTGCAGCTTTCTATGCCCTTCGTTCTTTCGCATCGGATTGTTCTGATTGCGAAATTTTAATCAGAGTTGATAATACCACATCCCTTGCATACATCAGACATATGGGGGGATTCAATACCCTGAACTGAATCGTTTAGCTAGGAATATTTGGCAATGGTGTGAGACAAAACGTATCTGGATAGATGCAGAGTACGTAGCTTCAAAGGACAACGTTGACGCAGACAGAGAATCTCGCTCAACGAGTATTGATATGGAGTGGGAACTCTCTGACGTTGCCTTTAGAAAAATCATTAAACGTTGGGGTTCTCCTGAGGTGGATTTATTCGCCTCAACAATCAATGCTAAAGTTGGAAAATTCTGTTCCTGGAGGCGAGATCCAGAGGCTTGGAAGGTGGATGGATTCACTGTAAATTGGACAGACCTCAATTTTTATGCTTTCCCATCGTTCTTTCCCATCCCATTTTCTGTGATTCTTAAAATGTTACGCAAGATAAGAGATGATAAAGCCTCTGGAGTAGTGGTAGTTCCACATTGGCCATCTCAACCTTGGTACCCATTTTTCATGGATATGCTCTGTGAAGATCCTATAATCTTCACACCATCAGCTGATTTGTTATTATCACCCTGCAGGTCCATGAAATATCCTCTGGCCCATCACCTTTCCCTGGTTTGCGGGAGATTAAGCGGTTAACATACCTGAGAAAAGGCCTATAAGAGGACACAACTCAAATTATGATTTCTTCCCTGGCGGAATCAATAATACGTCAATACAACTCAAGTCTGAAAAATTGGTGGGTTTTCTATAACTCATCCATGCGGGATCCTCTGGATTTTAACAAGAATTCCTTATTAAAATTTTTCACTGCTCGTTTCAATTCGGGAGCTTCATTCGGGTCACTAAATAGTGATGGAGCAGCGATTACTTTCATTTGTGATGATGATGTTACTAAAGATTCCATGTTTTCCCGTTTTTTTAAGGGAGTATTTAAGTTAAGGCCAACTCAACCCAAATATCAATCTATTTGGGATGCTGAAATAGCCTTGAAATGGACTGAATCTCTAGATCCACTAGAATCCTTAAGTCTGAAGCAATAAACTTATAAACTCGTCCTTTTACTAGCTCTAGCTACTGCACACAGAGTTCAAACTCTTTCTCTTATCAAACTTCACAATATTAGAGTGCTTAAGTCGGTGGTTCAGATTGACGTATCTGACATCATCAAAACCTCCAAACCAGGGGCTCTGCAGCCCAGGTTTTTTCTTCCATTTTTTCAGGAAAGAATTAAAGTTTGTATAGCTAGAGCTCTCATTCATTATTTAGAGATATGCAAAGATTTACGTGATAATGAAGATACTTTGTTTGTAACCTTGAATAATCCTCACAATCCTGCGACATTGCAGACCATTAGCAGGTGGATAAAAAGCAGCCTCAAGGAGGCGGGTATAGACAATAATTTAACAGCTCATAGCACAAGACATGCCTCTACCTCTGCAGCTAAATTAAAAGGTATTGATATAGGTCTCATTCATGAGACAGCATCTTGGTCAGACAAATCGAGGGTCTTCGCAAAATTCTATGATAGACCTGTGTTTGCTGAGAAAGGAACTTTCGTGTCTACTGTTCTAGGAGATAAAGGAAATATCTAATGGATTTCCAACTTTATGCTTTGTTTTTTCCTTTTCACAAAGTTTAATAGACCAACAGTTTTTGTTCTCTTAGTTATAGCCTCAGTGTCTAGGCTTTATGGATATATATAATGTTATATATATAATATATATATATACATAGTATATCTACAACATATATGATAGTTTTGGATTAAATAAAAAGTAAAAAAAAAAAATCTTACTCTGAACTTCTACTAGTAATTATCATCATTGTAATCCCTTCGAACGAGACTTCATATAATTACAATCGAACTTCACTTACAGGTAAGTTCGTTTGATTTCTAATTTTACGTTTGGAGTTGAAGCGTAAATTACGCTCAAAATTGCCCTAAATTACGATTACATAAACATAATTTACGTTTTGATATTCATAAAAGACGCTTCGTGTAGGTATAATTTACGTTCTTATTTTGAACGTAAAATACGCTTTTTTAAAACGAATCCAAGAATTTTTTATTTTTGAGGCTAATAAGTCCGGAAGTTTCTGTACGATTTTACTTTTTCGGGAAAAATTATGTGACAATTTCGTACTTTGTTCGGTGATGAACCTGCAAATTCACTGAACGTTTCACATTTCTTCTCTTCCATTCCTGTAAAAATTGCCAGAAAACGATTCCCCATTGCAGATTACGGGCATTGTTCCGTAATTTTTACTGAATATTTCTCTCCGTGTATCTGGACATGGTCTAAAAATAGCAAATTTGAAATATTGAAAATTTCGAATTTGACGAATACAATGTTTCCATTCGGAAGTAAAACAATACTCTTTCTTAAAATCAAAATACTCTTACCACACGCAGAGAAATGTTCAGTAAAAATTACGGAACTCACAATTCACTCACCGACTACGGAATCGACTCAGCAAATTTAAGGGGCGGTTTTGTAATTTTTCACAGGAGATTCAGATCTAACATACGGAACGCTCCGGAAAAATTTCGTGACACTTCCGTAAAATTTCCTACAATCACATTTCGCTCCGGAATTACAGAAAAGATACGTAATTTTTATTGATTATTTTTCCCAATCAGATTTCGACCAATCAGAGCGCAGTATTTGAGGCTACCCGACAGTTTTATTTCGGATATTTCCTCCTAGCTTTTGAATATTTCGCAGTAGTTCTTCATTTTTTTTACCTGAATATTCTGCAGTAGCTCTTTATTCTTTCAGCTCATTTCAGATAGAATCTTATATTCGACAGTCTATGGAAATCGGGTTATTCTATTAACATAATTTGTTGAAATCTTCCCCAATTCACCTCCTGATGTTGTCCACTGCACTCTGCTTGGCCAAAATCCGATTGGGAAAAATAATCCAACAAATACCCCTCGAGATTCAAAATTAATCGAGTATTTCCCTCAAGCTCCCCTGCAAACAAACCATGGTGCCAAGTTGTGCAGAAAAATCCCTCGCGCAAGCGCTCGGGATTTTTTAATCTGTGAAACTTGACACCCTCATTTGTTTGCAACGAAGCTATCGGGAAATACCCGATAATTTTGAAGCTCTTGGGGTATTACTACTGAATATTTCTCTCCGTGCATCAGCCAATCTCAAACGTGACAGTTGCCTAGTCATACCTTCCCCAATCACGTGTCAGTCAATTTCTCACCTGATCCTCCACGAGACACGAAAACCCCCGACAGCGAACGAGACCACAACAACCCTCCCTCTCTCGTAAACGAGGCCTGAGCATCGAGTCTATTAACCGGAAAATCAATCGATGTCAGTGGTCACCCGAGCCCGCAATGATCGCTACCTAATGGCCACCGGGGAGGTAAATTCGCCTGGAGCATCAGCCACGGGAAAACTAGATTTTCATCGTTATCTCGTGCCATCCCGCAAGGCAAGAGATTCCGCGAAGTGTCCCGGACACAAAGTGAAAGAATAAAAAATGCACCAGGGGGGAAACAGAATAAAACTTTTCATAGAATAATCACCTCCACGTGGGCACGTAAGTGCACGCGTCGAGTGCACAGGCACTCGGCAAGTACTTAACCCCCGAAACCCCGGATATATAACATCCGAACACAGAAAAAACCCTCATGAATAATATTCCTCGCGTAGAAAGCTGACACCACTCTAAACTCACACATTAACTACAGTAGTAATTTGAAAAGTAGAATGAAACATCAATTATAAGTATAAATATCAACATACTTTATTGCCTCCCATGTCTCGTTGTCGAACGTCTTCACAACTAGGAGCTCCAGGGCATAATTCACGAAACCGTACTGCGCATGTAAACAATTAATTTATTAAAAGTAACGAACTGGAATAATAATAATAAACAAAACGAATTGGAATAAAAAAAATTGTTTTACTTCAAAGTACGGTGTCATTAAATATCTTGGAATTCAAGTAAGATAAAGTCATTTTTATGATAACTTTTTTCGTAAATCTCATTTCCTTCTACAAAAAAAAAATAAAATGAAAATAAAAATGAATAAAAAATGTCTAGTGCGAATATTGTTATTTTGTTTAGATTACTAAGAATTACAGAGCATTTCAAATCTAACAGCTAATGATTACTGACAAATGCAATGACTATATCAACCACTTATGAGTACATTTATTATAATATTGAGAATTCGTTGAAATTTAGGGAACAGTTGCATTTGAATTATTAATGAGACGAATTTGAAATGAATTTATATTGAATGGTAATTCAATGACAGCTGGAATTTTCAAACTCATTGGAACGGTTGTAGGGTAAACAGGTCAATTTCTGGACGGGGGTTAGTGCCTGGACGATTTTTACTTCCATTGAATATTATATAAATAATAAAATGAAAATTGTACTGATTATTAATTTTTTCAATAATATTACTAGTGTATAATCATGTGATCAATTATTTTTTCTATTAATGGACATTTAGTGGATAAAAAAAATGGCCCAGTTGCCCAGAAAATTGCGGTTTCGGCCGCATTCAACTATTTCTTAATTTGATCATTCTTTGTTTTGTGATTTTGACTTTAAATAATTGTTTTTTGCTAATTAAAACTTTGTTGAAGGTATGGAAGCCATCATATTCATTATTTGGGTCAATCTTTTATTTTAGATCCTACCACGAAACTCAAGTTTTTCTTAACCGTCCAGCAACTGGGGAACTGTTCACCCTGCATTAAATTCAATTGAATCTCCAATAGGTTTCATTATCGTTTGGGCTGAAAATTAGAAGTGTGTTGAACACTTCAAACATTAACTAATTGGTCGGTCAATATTTATGGACGTTTTATCTAAATGAGTTATCAAAAATTTTGACTGTTTACTTGAAATCCACGGAATAATTTTCTGACAGAGTGGGTCGACTAGCATTTCAATTTTTAATGGATGAATGAACGTATGAACCTATGATCAACAGTGTTATGAATGTCAAATAAATATAGATTAAATGGTATTTCAATGACAACTGGCATATTCAAACTCATTGTAAAGATTCCACACTAAATTCAATTGAATTCTCAATAATTTCTCAATAATTGTATGGGCTTAGAAATTGGAATTGTATTGAATACTTCAAACATTAACTGATTGGTCGGTCAATATTTATGAACATTTTATCTAAATTAGTTATTGAAAATTTCGAGACTGTACACTTGAAATCCACGGAATAATTTTCTGACAGTGTGGGTGGACTAGCATTTCAATTTTTAATGAATATAATCAATATTCAGAGCTAATGTTAAGTTCTTGAAATTTGAGGAACAGTTGCTTGGGAATTATAAATGTTATGAATTTGAAATAAATTTAGATTGAATGGCACTCCAATGACAGCTGGAATTTTCAAACTCATTGCAACGATTCCACATTAAATTCAATAATAAATTCTCAATAATTTTTATTGTCATACAGGCTTGGAAATTGGAATTGTATTAAATACTTCAAAAATTAACTGATTGTTCGACCAAGATTTACGAAAATTTCATCTAAATCAGTTGGCGAAAATTTTGAAATTGTTTACTTGAAATCCACAGACCAATTTTCTCATAGTGGGTGTCCTACCCATTATTTTTTATTCTTAATCAATAAATGAACGTACCATGATCGACAGTGAGAGCAGTTGTCCGGTTGTCAGCTCCCACAATTATTATCATTCCATTCTAATGGCCATTTGGTGAACTGCTCGGTGGTGGGGATGGGTTGAGGACTTTTATAGTACACGAAAGCGTGTTTACCTCATGCACACGAGACGCGTACTGCAAGCGACTCAACTGCTCGTAGCAGACGATAAGTATCGATTTTACCACCGAGCCAATGGCGCCACCTAGGTACTCCTCCGGAACGAGGAGGGAGCTTTTTCTCCCTCTTCGGTGTACTCTCTCCCTCCGCACATCCCTGCTGTGGTGTACGAGGAAAGTAGTGCTGGTACCTATGTACTAAGACCCACAGCCGAGATATACCCATCCTGTGCGATTATTTTCTTCTTTTGCTTTTAGGAGTTGCTTTAAGTCATTGCTAAAAATTAGTATTCCTTTGTAACACCTGGAAGTTCTACTGTTTTTATTATGACTTTGTGTTGGAGGGAGAGAGATGTTAAAGGGGATGAGCTGTTTTACTGATTTTATGTTCAATTTCAGAAATTAGTGGTTTTTTGCTTTCGATTTGAAGCTTTGTAATCGTTCAAATTTAAGTTTCCGATTTTTTGTGTTAGTTAGGGGGCTACGCCCCCTGCTCGTTCCGCTCACCAATCCCTAGATGATCTCCATGTGATCTTCATATGACCCCCATGCTACTTATTCTGACCTTTTTACCCTTAATCTGACCCTCATGACCGTTCTTTTGTCCCTCATGACCATTAGTTTGACCCTAGTGACCCTTAATTTTGGAGTTTTAATTTCGAGTATCAAATTTTCATCACTGGAAGTCGCTTCAGATTTTTCTAGTATAGAGAGATATCGACCTATTGGGATTTGTATTGAAATCGTTCTATTTTTAGATTCTCTAATTTTGCTTGGCATTTATGTAGAATGGTATGAAACGTAAAAATACGCAGTTTGACCACTCCGTGTGCATGTGCGAGCGTCCACCTGGTGGTCAACTTTTATAAAATACAAGGAGGGACATTTTCTGGTAAAATTTCTAGGGATATCTGTTAAATTTTCACAGAAATAGGTATGGGGAGAAATTCACGTTTTCCCCAAAAAAATTTCTAGTGCCGGCACTGTAATTTTTTCTTGGCCGTCGCTTTGCGCCTCTTTTCCCGTGCTAGCCCTAGAATTTTTCTAACAAATTTCTCTCCCTGTAGAAGAATGAAAAGACTAAAATAATTTCAAGAAATCTGAAATGTTGGCAGATTATAGGTATGAATGAGAACTCACTCTGTCCTCAATTTATTTATTAATTGCACATCAATTGAATTTCAAAACGAATGGGCACTCGTTACAGTTAATAAAACAATTAAAAACATCGGTCATAAAACTTGGTAAAATATTTATTTTTTTTCACGTGTGTTTTGCGTCCATTTTTTGGATGAATAGATAGACAAAACAAAATAAAATTTCATCCAATTTTTATGAAAACTCGACAGCACCATGAAAGTCTCAATTTCGCTTCGCAGCCCGGCACGTATGAAAAAATCGTATAGAAATTTTCAATGCGAATTGCGTATAGAATTTCTATAGGATTTTCGTATATGATATTCGGATATTACTATATGGATATTTTTTATACAAATTATTTCTATACGATTTCTATAGGTTTGATCCTATACGACACACTACCACATGTATAGAAACATTTTGTATGGAGTTGCGACATTTCTCTACGTTTTCCTTTGGAGCGTTTAGACATCGTTCGAATGAAAACAAAAATTTATGTAAAAATTTATGTATTATATAGAAATAATTAGTATAGAAAATTTCTATACGATTTTTTCATACGTGCCCCTATTAACAAATTGACTTATTCCAAATTTCTATATTTTTATTTTGATAAGGAACAATACCTTCTAATCGAACATTCGTGTTTCACATCAGGAATCGTACTCAAATAGTCATGAAAAATGGAAATCTTCTAGTATCTTATACGGAACATATCAAATCAAAATATTTTCCTCTCTAAGCGCAAGTAAAGTGAGGGATACGTAATTCTGTGTTCAAGTTTGTACCTAAGTCTACACGGAGAAAAGTGAATGTAGGGGTTACTTTTATATGGTAGAGGTTACCATAAATTATGGTAAAAGGGTTTCTAAGTCAATCTCAATAGTAATTTTTACTATGTTCAACAGTAAAGTGTACTATGTTGTATAGTAATCAATACCATTCGAACATGGTAGGCATTACTATACAATATAGCAACGACAACCATTATTATAGGAGAGATTACCATGTATAAATAGTACTGATTACCATCCACATGGTAATCTCTCCTTTTCTCGATATCGTAGAAAATACTAAAAATATGGTAACGAGTACCATATTTATGGGAAAGGGTACCACGGATGTGGAAAGTGTTCCTGTAGTGTATGGTTATAGTTGCTAATTCTCTATTAATCCGTCTGAAAAATGAGCGCGATCAAAGGTTCGATAGTACACAGAGCTCAGTGAACAATTGAGAGTCAATTAAAACAGTCATGGATCTCAGCATCTCAGAAGATTCAATTGGCACCGAAGTAAGTACTACCTTTTTATCACTGTTAGATAAATTTAAATGATTAAAAAAAGAAAATTGCAATATTTCAGTCATTATTGATCGAAATTTATGATGATTATATTATTTTTGAAATACAAAAGCATTTTTTCTTCCTAAAAAATTGATGATTAACGTCATCGTTAATCATTTGATCCGCAATTTTTTAATCATTGAATGATCCAATATAAATTGTTAATTTTAAATGAAAATTGAAAAAGAAATAAAAACGAATTGCGATTTTCTTCATCTACATCGAAAAAAAAAAAATCTTGACTTTAAACATTCTTATTTGAAGATCATTATCTTTTATATTCGTGACATTTTATGACTTTTTCACGTTTTACCATATAATATAGGTCATGTTACCATAGTGCATGGTAATCTCTCCTATAAACTATGGTAAACTTTACCAAACGACTATGGGTCCCTTTACCATAATTAATAGCACACTCTACCCGGTAACATGGTAGAAGGTACTATTCACTATAGTAATTTCTCCTATGTTCATAGGCTTCATTACCATCGAGCGACTTACCATGGCCCATTGCATGTAATACCATACCCCATAGGAATCATTACCATAGCATAGTAATGCTTCCTAAATTTTAATAATACGTACAAATCGTAAATTTAACATGGGACTCTTTACCATAGCTCTTCTCTCCGTGTATTTTCTTAAATATCTCAAAAAATACGTAACCGATTTCAATTTTGTTTTGGAAATACTCATCTTGTTTTTTTTTAATTACATCGATTCATTAAGTTAAACTTCTTAAGAAAAAGCAAAAAATTTAATGCTCACAATTGTGGAAAATACCTGGTGAGCGGTATTGTCCGCCAAGCGATACAAGCGCACTGTCCCCTATACAAAATCAATACAAATCTCAAATCTGACTCATTACGTTTTATCGTTTCCTTACATAATTTCTCATCACAGGTGGTGATTAAACCATCCGATTACTTAATTTTTCCCTAAAATCAATAACAAATGAGGTTTCTTCGAATTTACCGAATATGGAAATTTTAAAGAGAAACTGATTGATAGTCAGTTGGTAGCAATAATTGATATTAACATTGAAATTATAAACGCGAAATTAAAATCTTAATTGGATTTTCTGTCTATCGATAACAGAAAACAATACTCAATTTAATTTTCGTGATATTTTGCTGTTAATACAAATTATATTTCACGCTGTAGATCCAATTATCATTAAATTTCCGATTAATTCATTTTTTTTAGGGGAAAATCAGCAAGTTTTTTATATGGGCCATCGCTGGAAATTAGTATTCCTCTGTCGCACGCGGAAACTCCGCTATTTTTATTGTTTCTCTGTGTCCCTCTGCGTGACACAAAAGAGCTGACAAGTGTGTTCCACTTGTTTTCCCTTCAATTTCAGGAATTGATCCGTGTTTCTTCTACTACACTTTTCTTCAAATGTTGAAGATGATCAAAAATAATGGTTCATGAAATTGTTCTTCTGCCTGAGAAAAGAAGAAATGTTTTTTTTGTAAACTTAATTTTGTAAATTAAATCCTTGAGACCCTTACTTCTGACCCTTATTTTTAATTTTTTTCTTCCCATTATTTCTGGGCTTTTTTTACCCTTATTTTCAATTTTCATTTTTGACCCAGACTTCTGTTATTTTGTGAAAATTTTTTTAACCCTCACACCTGATCGTCATTTTTACATCCGAATGGAAGCATTATGTTCGTTAAATTCAAAATTTCTAATGTTTTGTGTCAGGATAACTAGTTTTGTCCTCAGGAGTTCGAATTTGTATATTTTGATACGAGTGAGATGGGATTTTCACGAGTGTCAAGTTTCATGTTGCCAATCACACAAGTTGACCGATCCCTTTTCGACGACAACTGAAAAAATAATTGTTTAACTGAATTCAATGGTGATTTTAAATATTCTTTCCAATGCCATACTCAGAAAAATATTGACATAATATCATAAAACTAATTTCTTACATCAAATATTTCATCTCTTAAGGATAAAACGCTTGGAATAACAATTCCGCATAATGAGTCAGACTGAGTAATATCCTTTGAAATGTTCAGAACCTGAACATGAACACTTGACGGTAAAGTGAGGATTTCTTATCACAAAAAATCATTCATTTCGTGTCAAATCATGAGAAAATTGCTGAAAATAATAAAAGCTCCGATTCAGTGAATCATGGATCAGAGATTCTCATATTGAATGAATACAAAATTGAATAAATACAGGGGAGAATCTTCAGATATTTCTGAAATATAACCGTCACGTGCTCTCAATCGCAATGAATTCGAAGAAAAGTACTAACTTTCTTTCCTTCTCTCAAACTTAGTTTGTCTCTTTAGGAATATTATCTAATTTGCAGAAAAAATATTATTGTTTCATTTAGAATTATCCTCCTTTAGCCCGAGGAGCACTTGATTCAAATATATTTTATACTCAATTCAGGTCTATTTTTTTTGAGAGAATCAAGTCGACGAATCGACTTGAATCAAGTCGAATCATATCTCAAGTAGGTCGAAAAATCGACTTGAATCAGATCTTTGTGTTTGCATCC